GCATTTGTGGACGGCCAGTCCGCCAGGGCTGCGAAACCAGCGAAGACATGCGGTGCATTGCCTGCTGCCAGCCGGGTCTGCTACAGGTTTGCGACGCTCTTCAGTGCACTTGTGGCGTGGCAGCACACACACACACACACACACACACACACACACACACACACCTCAGACCTCAGACATGCCCATCGCGGAAGCATACACACACGCACGCACGCATGCACACACACACACACACACACACACACACACACACACACACACACACACATGAACACACACCTCAGACCTCAGACCTGAACAGCTATGTTAGATGAAAAGGCGACGAGGAGACAATAACTTTATTAATGCGATTAATAGTATAAGTGAAGCGGACATTACAAAATGATGAATGAGAATACATGTATCTAAAATGGTTGTTCCTAATCGATTTTCTTGAGACTATCATCAGGGAAAAATCGTCTCACAATAGAGGCTATACGGAGAAACAAACTACTTATAGGTTATAGGATAGTGGTAAGTATACAAGGTGAGGTGTGAAAAGAAAAGATACAGTGGGAGAGAAGACGAAAGAAATTAGAAGAAAAGATGTGAGAGTGTTCCGACGGTGTGAGCTACTACAAAAGGTGAGTGAAATGAAGGCGTGGAAGCAGGTGAATGTGATAGAGTGCTTCCTGCTTCCACGCCTTCATTTCACTCACGTGATACCCTACGCAGCACAAGGGTAGCGTGATACCCTACGCCAACGTGTGCGCTGCATGAGTAGCGTGATACTCGCCAAGCGCTTTTGATGTTGCCTAGCAACGTGTTTCTGTCTTTCCTGGGCCCCCAAATGCATGTTGGGTGGCCCTGCGCATGACTGCACGTTGTCATAGCAACCTTTGAAATCTTAAGCCGGTTACCAACAAGCTAGGAATCAGACCAAGCCGCCGAATGCCAATTCCGCGTTGGTCAGCTGAATGACCTTAGTATGGTATTCAAGCGCTTCAGCTACATGCATGTAGTTCGAATGCATGCCATTCGTATGTTTGTATTCCCTTAGTGACACTGATAAGGGTTTGAATCGCATGCAGTCGCAAAAGCTATGGGTGGCATGGTGCCATAGGTGAGAGCAATAGCACCGCAACTAAGTGGAGCAGATAGCTTCTCATAAGTATCAGAAGCGTGCGTGCACAGTCAGTGCTAGAACGTGAGTGCGTGCGTCCGCGAGTGGGCGTACCAGTGGGTGCGCAGCGTGTGTGCATGCGTGCATGCTTGCACGGTGTCAGAGTGCGGGTGCGCGTACGCATGCGTGTGTGCATGCATGTGGGTGTGCGCGTGCGTGTGTATGTGTATGCGGGTGCGTGTATGTGGCTGTGCGCGCTTGCGGACGGTGAACAGTTACTTTCCACAGCGGACATAGTGCTTGCAGCAGGCACTTCACCATCTGCCGAGTTTCATGATCTCGGATTCGGTGAAGCCGCTCAATGCTCCTGTGGTTGCGGGTCCGGCTCTGAGGCCTCGCAGTGGATACTGGTTCGGTGGGTACCCTGGGCTGCTCAAGAGCTGACGGATTAGACGTGTGAGTCTTTGTGCAGCCAGGAAATTGCCACAGCTTTCGATGACCAGTGGTCTATTGGGCAGGTTGGGGCGTCTGGAGAGATAGGTATGCATGGCTCTGACCGGGCAAACCGTTGAGTTAGTGGTTGTGAGCCGGACGGAGTGACCCTTGCCGAGTTGGTCGGTCTTGGACTTCTTGATTGTGACCTGTATGGCCTGCGGCGTGATGGAGAGGTCATTTGTTCGGAGGCCCCCGTCTGACATGGTTGTGGCGGTTGTGGAAGTGTATTCGCTTGCCCGGAGACAGGCGAAGAAGCCCAGGCAAATGGCTGCCCATGCCATGGCTCGGTCGGTAGCGTTGAGATTAGACCTAATCAGGGCGTTGCGCAGCCATGTGGGGCCGGAGGATTGGCTTGCTGGCGCTCTTAGTTCGGTTGGCCTGTGCGCGTGCCACTCCTTTAACTGCGAGGTCCACTCTTCGCGAAGAGAGATCTTTGCCGTTTTCTTTGGCAATTGCCCGGTTCGCCGACACATACAAGCGGACGGTTGACGCGGCATGTTGACGTGCCAGGTAGGCTACAAACGCCAGCATGATGGTGTCTGTAATCACCTTGGTGCCGACTAGTTTGCAGAATTGGTGCAGTCGTTTCCAGGCTGTCGCGCATGTGGCGCTCAGGCACCACAACATCAACAGAGACTCGACCAACCCGCTGTGCTGCTGTTGCTGCTGCTACTGTTGGGAGTGTTGGCTGTGCACGTGGAGGTACCACTGGTTGCAGACCCATCGATGTGGTCAAGTGGCTGTGCGCGTTCAATATGCAAAGCCACACGGCGACGCTCACCGCCATACTTGCGCTCTAGCAACTTCTTAGCTGCGTCATAGGCTGATGGTGAGTAGCCAAATCGCTCGATGGCTGTCAGTGCTTCTCCTGCCAAATACTGCCTCATTCGCAACAGCTTGTACTGAGGGGTGGCGGGTGCACTATCTACACATGCCATGAAAGCTTCTCGGAATGACTCAAACGTACGTTTGTCACCGCTGAATATCGGTATGCCAACTCGTTGTAGCTGCTTTCATGGCTCTGCACGAGCCTGGTTTTGTTGCATTTGAGGTAGCCCTGTTGCATACATTTGATTTCCAATATTGGATGGTGTTGCATAACCCTTGGCTGTTGCATGTACCCGGAAGACATCTGTGGTTGGTCGGTATGCCCATATACATTAGTACCTGTAGAAGCCATTGACATTGTGCTCATAGGCGGTGCCTGCCACTGGATACATGACTGGGGCGCTGCCATTGACACTGGAGGCTTTCTGAAAGAGTGTGGATTAGCCTGTGTACGAACACTGTACTTAGTATTCACTGTAGTATTCACACTATGCGTACTGGTTGAGTATACAGAATTGCTTGGAAGAACATTGCTACTGCCAGAAAGTGCAAAACAGTTGGATGCACGCAGCAGCACAGCTAGCAAGAGAAAGAGCCGTGGATGGGTTTGATCCTGTTTTTGATGGCTGTGGCCATCCGTTGGCCAACGGTCTCGTGTGAGTACGGCGTTTGTTTGTGCTGCCAGCTCGCGTCCGGCGTTTGTTTGTGCTGCCAGCTCGGGCCCGGTGCGCGAGTGAAACCGAACCGTGACAAAGGCTTTCGCTCTTTAGTGCTATTGACTGGCTTTTCATACGATGCCGATTGATGTCTAGAGACATGCTGTCTAGCCTTCCCCTGGTACGCATTCACGGGGCTTTGTTGAAGTTCGTGCCGTGAACTGCCAAAGGGAATTGTTTGAATGGTGCTGGGGCAAGTGCGACATTACGGCGTCCCTGCAGCCGGCCTAATCGCGTTTGTTGCCACAACCGATTTTAATAAAGCTATGTTAGATATGGCAACTTGTGCTGGGATTACACCATTCAACAGCTTGTAAGGCTGATGAATTGACCGCCACTATTTTTAGCCTGGTATCCACCACACAGCTGATTGAATGTACACACATGCACACACAAACACACACACACACACACACACACACACACACACAACATGAGACCATAACTCTGAAACGGCATGCGTTTTGTCCTGGCTTTAGAAGCCCAATCGGTGTCAGAGTTGCGTGGTCCACATCGCATGTAGCAAAAATTGTGACCAAGGCCATGACCGTGACAATGTTACCCTCAAATGCAGCCCAGGCAAGGGCGGTGGCAATAGACGTATGTGTCACGCGCAAACCGGCTCTGCCCAATGACGACTGGAACAGACAGCCCAGGAACAATATCCAAATCAAGGCATTACTGTAAAAGCAGAAATTTTCGGTGGTGTAATATTTTCGGTGTTCTCCAAAATCGGCGGTTCGGTGGAGGGAAATTTTCGGTAAAACCCGTTTTCCAGGTAAGTGGGCTAGTACTACATGTATACAGTACCGGTAGTAACGAAATTTCCGGTAAAAATTGTCGGCACCAAAGTTACCGAAAATAGCACACCACGGAAAGTGTCTGCTTTTACAGTACGCACTAGACAGCGACTGCAGTACACATACACGTACTACACACAGGCGTGCGTACAACGGCAACTTTCTGCTCATTCTTTCGGTTGTTGAATACAGCATTAATGACATGCCCAGACACACAGAGGCACACAGACAAACACACGCATACATATACAATCATACACGCACACACGCACACACACACACACACACACACACACAGAGTAACACATACAGGCACAATATATACATTGCTATGCATTTGCGTGTTGTCATGCTCGCTGAATTGAAAAAGGTTTATGTATACAGTATGTATGGTTTGTGTTGCTTGAGTACGATCACTTTGAAGGTCGAAGTTGGACTATAAAGGGCGTGAACAGGTGAGATCTTTATGTCTAGTAGTTAATTATCCTTACCTTTGCCCACCAAGGAAATCGGAATATTCAAACTCGATGGTGCTCCAACTTCATTTCGACGTAGAAAATTCGTTGTTTGAAGATCTCATTAAAAAGGGTAACCACTGATTTCGATGTGAAAAACGTTTCCCGATCGCCATAAAAAATTCCCTGCCGACTCATACCATAACAAGCTCCAATTTCACAAACATTGGCCACAAACGGTTGCATGCTCGTGATGAAGGTGGTTCGACATTTTCGATCTCAAATAATTCGTTCACTTCCGTATTCAGTCGACAATTATTTTGCCGTCATCGAGACTTATTTGGGCCCAAAAGCGCAAAAATCAGTGTAAAAGCATCACTGCATGATCGTACGATAACGCGATCGTACGATCGTGACCAGTGTGATATCCAGGGAGTCGTATTTTACGACTCCCTAGCCGGCCCTGGTGGCACTGGTGATATCACTTCAGTGACGACCGCGCGTATCGCGCTTCAAAGCAGGGAGTAATATTGTACTACTCCCTGCTTCAAAGACCACAGCAAAGCAGACCAAAAAAAGACAAAACCACCAAAGTCACCACCACCACACAACGGTTTCTGTTTCACTGCTGCATGTATTTTGAAGTCTAGTGCCGGTGGTTTCTTTCACGGGTACGGGGTAGGAACTCATTTCGATCAAGCCCATCGCAGAACTGGTGTTGAAGTAGTTCACCTTTGGCGGCGCAATTGGATGATGCGCGGTTGGCGGTCATTGTGAGCTGACACTTTGCGAGAGTTGTAAAGATGAGTTTGGGATATCAGAGTACATTATTGGGAATTCTAGGATCACTTCTTCTGCTCGCCATCTATGTCGTAGTAAGTCCGTCATTTATTGCCTTCGGGCGTTCCGAACTTACCAACGAAGGGCTTTGCACAGTGTAGCTAGTAGCATCCTCTAGTCTGCGGACAACGAAGTCTATTCAGGAATAATGTATTTGAATACTGTGCACTCGGAGCCCGGAGGACTGGCTTCTGTGCCAGCACCCACCAGTACTGATGCACCCCCCCCCCCCCCCCGTACAAAGAATAACTGGCGACAGTCGGTAGGTAGGGAGTGCACAGCTAGTAGTTATCAACCTAGTGATACAAGTCCATGCAAACATGCACACACGTGCTTACACACACACACACACACACACACACACACACACACACACACACACACACACACACACACACACACACACACACACACACACACACACACACGCACACACACACGCACACACACACACACACACTGTACATATACTTTGCTCACTGCCATGACTGGTCACGCGAGCCTCCCCGAAGAGGAGAGAGAGATTCAAAAGGAATCTTTTGAACCGCCCAACGACCGACACCCCCTGGAATCCCCAAACTCTGGGTGGACTTGGAAATGATCCCACTTATGGGCTCACCACACCTCAGTAAGTGAGTGAGGACGAGGTGCAGAAAAGGGATTGACGGGCATCAAGGCCCCGGGATCCAACTGCATTCACCCCTGCCCGCAGTGAAGGTATTTGCTACTAGTGTGGGTGGCTAAACCAGAGTGGATCTGATGAAGGCTTCACTAGCACCATTGATTACACAAGAGTAAATACACCTTCAAGCAGCTGAGCCCATTGCACACACATGCACACGCGCGCACGCGCGCACACACACACACACACACGCCGTCCAATTCCGGTGTACTCCTTGTGGTGTAGACCAGATGTACATTGGGGGTGGATTCACATGGCTTCGCCAGTTGTGCGAATTAGGCAGTTACCTGGTGCTAATCGTGATCTGTTTCATTCAGATCTTGTCCGCTGTTGTTGCTATAAGTATAAGAGAACATCTGTGGCTGTGCATACCGTGCATTTTCAGATTTGCGTGCAGGAGCGCAAAGGGGGCATGGTACATGGTGTGTGTGTGTGTGTGTGTGTACATGTACATGTATGTGTGTATGTGTGTGTGTATGTACATCTATGTGTGTGTATGTGTGTGTGTATGTGTGTGTGTGTGTATCCCTGCGCGTTTGTTCCACTCCGGCACTGCAGCCCACGACACAAGCAGAACCCAACGAAGGCAGGTGTATCTGGTATGGAGTCTGCTCAGCCAACAAGAAGCAGTACTGCCCCTATAATGGTACGGCCAAGGTACTGAAGGAGCAGCAAAAAGGTGCTGAGGCCCTGCACATCCTGAAGAAGGTCTGTCCATGGATGTACGCGGGCGAAGCTACCCGCCTTTGCTGTGACTATGATCAGCTTTACAACTTGCAGGATGGCGTCCAAAAGCTGTCAGCCATATTCGGTGGTTGCCCAAGCTGCTTGAACAACTTCCGGCGCTTGTTTTGCAGCTACACGTGTGACAAGAACCAGAGCACGTATATGAGAATAGCTGCCACGAAATCTAACAATGCCACTGGACAGCCACGCACCTCGGTGACCAACGTCACCATTGCTGTGGAGGCCGCACCGCTTTCGGCCACTTTCAACAGCTGCGCCAACATTCTGTATAATGGCCATCTGGCCACCATCGCAGTTTGCCACTTGAAGAAGACCAGTCCCTGCCCAGAGGCACTCTTCTGGCACAGCATGGGCAGCATGAAGGAAAACCCGTTCTTCTTCAGCTTGCTGTCGTCGGGTCCGGAAGTCCAGGGCCTCCGGCCGCGTACGTTCCCGACCATTGCTTGCACCGAGGCTGCACCCGGTCAGCTGTATAGCTGCCCTTGTCAAACGTGTCCGGCGAGAACTGATTGCAAGTCTGCGCCGGTTAAGCCACTGCCCAAGAAGCAGAGCTTTGTTGTCAGCATCGATGGCGTCACCTTCATCATGGGCTGCATCTTCATTGCCTTCCTCTTCACGTTCTCCGTCTTCATCACCTACAAAAGTGCGTCGCCACGCACCCTGACGTCTACGTTCCTGCTGGACTCCACCTCCATCAACGGCGGGAGCGCCGTCATTGCCACGGCGGGACAACGCGGCGACAAGCTGCGCAGGAAGATCGATGCTGTGCTTGGTGGATGGTGCCACAGCTGTGCTCGCAATCCATTCAAGGTCTTAGTGCTGTCGCTGACGGTCGCTGGCCTGCTTTGCTGCGGCATCGTCACGTTCAAGGTATGCACTACATGTAGCTCTGTGAACTTGCAATGATGATGAGAAGGATGTGTGGATTTGCATTTGGGATATGCCTGTGTGTAGGAGGGAGGGAGGGCGGGGGTGGGGGGGGGGGGGTACTTTCCCTGTCTCATACCCCCTTTCTTCCACTTTACCTCCTTAATCAGTACCATATTGATTGGAACAATCGACGATGCAATTAGTTGTTCAGAGTGTAGGAGTGTTCTCCATTCTCACTCTCACCCTGTTTTGCGTTACTGTACTGGCATGACTAGAGCCCCTGTCTTGAATAGTTCCCCTCTCTTGAGTAGTTAGTACTAGTTACCCAGTCTTGAATAGTACCCCTGTCTTGAATAGTACCCCTGTCTTGAATAGTACCCCTGTCTCTGAGGGCCAATGGACAAGAATAATGAATACAGCCCTCTCTAAAGTAGTGCCTCCTCGGCTCGTATTTCCCATTTGCAGATTTGTGTACTAACCGGACTCATTTTAATGAGGGAGGACCTGCATTGTTTTGAAGTCTGCATGTTACTCTTGCCATCTGCCCATCTTGTCTAGGTCATCACCGACCCCGTGGCGCTCTGGTCAGCTCCGAACGGTGAATTTCGCCACCAGAAGAACATATTCGACAAGAACTTTGGACCATTCTATCGGACCCAGATGCTGATTGTCACCTTGGACGATGGGCCGGAGCTGTTCAATCGGTTTGACGAAGCTGTCAGTGCCAAAGACGTAGACCAAATGTGCGAAGATGGTGAGGTGACAAATTACACCATTGGCCAGGTCTTCCGCCGCGGAGTTCTTGAAAAGGTAAAGCTCTACCACATGCTGTCAAGTATTTTTTGTTGTTGCAGCCACGTATCATTAATACAGTACATCTTGATGACGCTGGTGATATTTTCAGCCTGGAGACAAATCCACCCGTGTAATGACATGCATAACACTAAGGTTACGTTTGGTTGGTCACATTCCCAAATGGGAATCACTTGGAATCACTCGGAATCATTCTCGCCCGTTTGGTTGGTCAAAAAAGTGCGTTAGGTTGGTCACATTCCACATGATTCCAGAATGGGAATCGCTGAGAATGATTCTTTTTGGAGAATGATCATTCCACCTCACATGCTGGAATGAGCATTCTCATTCCGGAATCAAAAATGATAATGGCTGCCACGAGCCAAACAATGTAGCAACAGGTTCAAATGCCTCAAATCATGCACTCAGAAGTACCATGACTCTCTCAAGGAAACTAGAGTCGGGTAAAAGAAAAGACAGCCGCCGTTCCACAAAGACATCATGGAATTGTTATATCAAGTGATTCCTAATTGATTCTGGCGCGTTAGTTTGGTCAGGTGATTCTTGCCGATTCTCATTCCAGAATGGTTGTCATTTACATTCTGAAAATGCCCAACCAAACGCAACCTAAGTAGGTATGCTGTGTTGGAGATGTGATGCTGGCCAGCGGGTTGGCGTGTTATAAACCATCGTTGCTGTGCATTGCCACTGCGTGTTTGTGTGCTGTCCGTAGGTGCTCGAGTTGCAGGAGCAGATCTCCAACATCTCCGTCAACGTGGACTCGAAGCGCGTCACCCTGGAGGACATCTGCTTTGCTCCCTTGTCGCCGGACAATGACAAGTGTGCAACGGAAACTGTCCTGCAGTACTTCCAGGTAAGGCGTTGACATTGGAATACTTTGTTGTCGATAGCAACTCAATCCTCTTCCTCCGTGCTGCCTTCTGATCCCTGTCAGCGCCAAGAGCTCACAACTTCTGTTTTTGAGTCAGGAAAAGAATGCAATTGCTGGCTGAGTAGTGCAACACATCCACTGGACTTTAGGACATTGTGCGATTGACAACAGCCTTCTTTCTGTGCATAGAGCTAGCGCAACAATTTCACACACATTGTATACAAAGACCTGAATGAAAACCAAGGCGAAGCGAAGGTTTCATTGCAGACCTTTGTTTGCCATAACATTTGGCATAAATCCAAGGTGAAGACCTTTATTTTGTGTAAACAACACACAAAAGTGACCACAATTCCAAGGAACCCTAAAAAAAGGAACGGTGTCTTTATTTTAATAGTTTACTTGAAGACAAAAGGCAGTCACACTTGCCCAGTCCATGTTCAGTTTCTTTTTGCCTGTATTCCACCTGATGGGAAGGGGCAATAAAAATACCCGTGGAAAGTTAGGGACATGTTGATTGTGAAGAGAGCCTGGATCTTCTTTTTTTTTAGCGTGCTTATCTTTGTATTTCTTGACAAACCAGAATTACACTGCGTCCATCGAGCTATGAAGCCGAGACCTCTGGTCGGCTGAGCTTAAATGGGCCCCACCACCACACTCCATTATTCACTTCAGTATCTGGAGATACTAGGTATGTGGATTTTGTAGAAAAAAAGAGAGAAATAAACACTGGATAACGCCTTGTGAGTTGCGATCGCTTTTGTGTGCGGGTCTTTATGAAGATGGTTTGTAATTCTATATATACAAGTCTGTATATCTGTCCTGCATCCTTTTTGGCATAGAATAACATCACACATCTGCGGCGCGTTAAAAGCGAAGACTTCCTTCAATGTGTCACAGACTCCTACATCGATCACATGATGGAATGCACATTGTGAGTATCCGTTTCAAACATGCTCCTGTGTTGTAGCAGTCTATAGTGGTCCATTTAGTAGCTGATCTCATAGCCGATTTAAACTTGTGTAGAACTGCTGGCATGACTTTACTGCATGTCTACTTTGCAACTCTAGGTCCCTGTGCCCCCGCGTCTGGCATGCAGATACTCTTTTCTGAGTCTTTTGTCACCTCTCTTTCTCCTCTCTCTCTCTCACACACCCTCTCTCACCATCACTCTCTCTCTCTCCCTCTCTCTCTCTCTCTCTCTCTCTCTCTCTCTCTCTCTCTCTCTCTCTCTCTCTCTCTCTCTCTCTCTCTCTCTCTCTCTCTCTCTCTCTCTCTCTCTCCTTCCCTCCCACCCTCTCCTGATATTCTCTATATAATGGTAACGTGCCTAAATTCGTGTTGTTCTTGTGTATACACATACTTGTGGGTACAGGTGCATGTATGTGTGTGTGTGTGTGTGTGTGTGTGTGTGTGTGTGTGTGTGTGTGTGTATGTATGCGTGTATGCGTGCGTATGTGTATGTGTGCGTGTGCGTGTATGTGTGTTCAAGTACCCTCCGTAGATCTTACCTCTTTGCAGTGTGTATCTTACCGCTAAGTCTTTGGCTAGCCTATTCCCTGCCCAAAGATCCAGTGTCCATGAAATGCAATAGCCATTTAGGCCACTGTTGCACTGAATTATGTACCATGTAAACTGCCACTTCACACCAAACTTGGGCTTCTAAATATTTACGCGACAATACAACGTCGTATGGCATCCAGCCGGTGTGACAAACCTCTATGGTGTTGGTCTGTGCTTGGTGTTGTGTTCTGTGCTATAGTAATCCGCTCGAAACGGTGTCACAAACGGACGGCTTAAATCTGCCCTGCCTCGGTGATTTTGGCGGCCCTGCCTATCCCAATGTGGTGCTCGGTGGCTACGGTGGAGGTATGCGTGATAGAATACGGGGAGAGTGGCAACAATCTATTAGCCGAGTGTGTGTGTGTGCGTGTGTGGTGGTCAGGAGAGGGGGAGGGAGGGGGGGGGGGGGGGTTGTGACCTTTCTGCCGCTAGTTTTGCAGGGGCTGCCATCATTGTATTGAAGTACAGCAGAATGGCTTCCGCTGAGAGGTACTGGTTGTGCGGGCAGTGCTCAGGTACAGGGCAGTGCTCAGGTACAGGGAAGTGCTCAGGTACAGGGCAGTGCTCAGGTACAGGGCAGTGCTCAGGTACAGGGAAGTGCTCAGGTACAGGGCAGTGCTCAGGTACTGTAAATATACAAAATTTCGGCACTTCACGATTTTTGACATTTCGGCGGCGATTTATTTTCGGCGTGGGGTAGAGGGCATGGTATAGTGCGACAGATGCTGTGAAAAATTTCATCGGCGTTTTAATTTAGGCGTTTTGGGTCGGTGCCGAATATAGCCGAAATTAAATAGCTGCCGAAAATTTGTATAGTTACAGTACACAACAGAACAACAAGGACAATCAAGGCTTGTTTGCTGCTACTTTAAGTTTCATGCTTACGCAATCATCAGGCAACATGAAGATCGGGTGCCGACCATGCCGGTATATATGCCAGGAGAGGGTGGTATAAAAAGCTGTGTGAGACTGTGGGGGCTAGCGCAGTAGCGGTGATGTTTTAGGCAGGGGGCTGTGTGCAGAGTGTGTGGTTGTTGAAGGCAGGGGCTAGCAGTGCAGTGTGAGCGCGAAGTGTGTGGCTGGTGTGGGCAGGAGGTGGTGAACAATGCGTGTGGATGTTATAGGCAGGAGGCTGTAGAGCTAGCAGTGTGATAATAGCGCAATGTAAATGGATATGTCTGGTGTGGGCAGGGTGTTATGAGCAAGGTGTGTGAACGTGAATGGTGTGGGCAGGAGGCTGTGGAGACATGTTTAGGTGACACCGTGGTTTTTTAGGAGATACTTGTTCTCGTGTCGGCACTTGGACACCATTTCGGAGCGCTTGTTGAGGCTGGACGGTGACCCTAGCGTGTTCAGGATGTGATACTTTTCTCTGGTACAGAGGGAACACCGCTTCGTGATGTTGGAGTATGCCCGGGCGCGATCTTTTATCCTCCATTCGACTTCGTATTGGGCGTTGGATTTCTTCAGCTTCCAGATGTAGTTGGAGAACTCAGTGCAGCTGGAGTACTTCTCGTATCTTGTTGTAGTCATGTGGTTGGCATGGCGTGACTTGAATGGTGGCGCCGACATACCGGTGTATTCCTTTTTGGTGGGGCCTGACGTTATGGATGCCACATATATCAGCTCCGTCGTTTGGCATTCACCGTTGAGTGGACAAGATGGCTTGTCTCGGCAGTTGCAGGGCTTTTCCGGTTTTTTCGTTTGCGGGCAGAGGACCGCTTTGTTGTGGCTTTTGATGCGTGCAGCCATATTTGGCATGCAACTGTAGCTTATCTTGATGGTGTTTTTTGTGAATATTTTTCCGAGCTTCGACTGCGGGGGGGGGGGGAGTGCTTCTTAATGAGCGCGAGGAATCTTCCACCGATGTTTGTTTTCACATTACGGCTGTAGGGCGGGTTGTACCAAATCACCTTCCTCTTCCTTTTCTTCTTTTTGCTTGTTTTCTGTTTGAACTCTAGCGTGCTAGGGTGGCCGCTGGCGTTGAGGGCCTCCGCGTAGGTGGGGATAGCATCACGGAACACCGCCTCTGAGCAGGAGATGCTTGCCAGTCGGTTGTTAATTCCAGCTGGGATGTTCTTAAGGACTTGCGGTGGGTGATTGGAGTTGACGTTGACATACAGTGGGGTGTCGTTGGGTTTTCGGTACGGTTGGTAGGTTCCTGTACAGGGCAGTGTTCAGGTACAGGGCAGTGTTCAGGTACAGGGAAGTGCTCAGGTACAGGGCAGTGCTCAGGTACAGGGCAGTGCTCAGGTACAGGGCAGTGCTCAGGTACAGGGCAGTGTTCAGGTACAGTGCAGTGCTCAGGTACAGGGCAGTGCTAAGGTACGGGGCAGTGCTCAGGTACAGGGCAGTGCTCAGGTACAGGGCAGTGCTCAGGTACAGGGCAGTGCTCAGGTACAGGGCAGTGCTCAGGTACAGGGAAGTGCTCAGGTACAGGGAAGTGCTCAGGTACAGGGAAGTGCTCAGGTACAGGGCAGTGCCCAGGTACAGGGCAGTGCTCAGGTACAGGGCAGTGCTCAGGTACAGGGCAGTGCTCAGGTACAGGGCAGTGTTCAGGTACAGTGCAGTGCTCAGGTACAGGGCAGTGCTAAGGTACGGGGCAGTGCTCAGGTACAGGGCAGTGCTCAGGTACAGGGCAGTGCTCAGGTACAGGGAAGTGCTCAGGTACAGGGCAGTGCTCAGGTACAGGGAAGTGCTCAGGTACAGGGAAGTGCTCAGGTACAGGGAAGTGCTCAGGTACAGGGCAGTGCCCAGGTACAGGGCAGTGCTCAGGTACAGGGCAGTGCTCAGGTACAGGGCAGTGCTCAGGTACAGGGAAGTGCTCAGGTACAGGGCAGTGCTCAGGTACAGGGAAGTGCTCAGGTACAGGGCAGTGCTCAGGTACAGTGCAGTGCTCAGGTACAGGGCAGTGCTAAGGTACGGGGCAGTGCTCAGGTACAGGGCAGTGCTCAGGTACAGGGCAGTGCTCAGGTACAGGGAAGTGCTCAGGTACAGGGCAGTGCTAAGATACAGGGCAGTGTTCAGGTACAGGGCAGTGTTCAGGTACAGGGCAGTGCTCAGGTACACTGAAGCACCTGCGGGATGTGGACAGTGGTACAGGATAAATGCGGGATGCCGGAGCCTGCTGCACCAGGTAATACAGCTGCTCGTCTATCACCTGTTCTGCTGCCATCCGCAGCAGGAGCTTCGGAAAATATTCCACATTGGTGTGGCCATGAAGAGGTGGGGGTTCCCGGGGTTCTACCCTGGCAATTCTTTTTGAAATTTGGGTGCAAATAGCCCATATTTTATTGCTTCAAAACTCACAAGATTATGGTTCTTGGTGCGGCGCACTGGTTCTGATGCCTCTGATCGGTGGATTTTGTATTGTATTGTATTTTATTATTTTACTTGGGCATTCCCAACAGACCCTTACAGGGTGCCCAAAATCAGTGCTATCCTCCCGTGTTGTATTTCTGCACTTCCTTTTGCTTCTTGCTCATGGGGTGGTGGCGTCCCACGGAAGCGGAAATGTGGTTCTTGACCCGCCCGGTACGCAAACCGTCCAATTTGTTTTTGTTTTTTGTTTTTTTTTGGGGGGGGGGAGTTCTTGCTGTTGGTCCGTATGTGGAATTTCCTTTTCTTTTGCCATGATGCACGGTGAAACATACGTATGAGCCTACCGTACTGATTGCTGTTGTTACTCTTTGTCTGTTTCCGTGCATCGCACTAGTGTCCTACATGAACGCCACCGCTCTGGTTGTTACGTACCTTGTCAACAATCATGTCGATGCGGCAATGAACAAGCCGGCAGAAGAATGGGAGAAAAGGTGAGCAAGATTTGCTGAAATACCATCATACCGATACTCCCTTGGAAGTTGATTGCAATTGGCTGTCGCAGTGGTCAGAGTTCTTCTTGCACCATGATTCAGTCACAGCTGGCAAATTCTCCAGTTGTACAAAGCTGCTGTTGCATGTCTCTCACCGCTTTCAAGTTTCTACGATTGTGTCGATGATGCTTTCCTGTGCATGGTTTCTTTGTCTGTTCATGCTGCGGCTGTGATGCTAATCACAGTATACTGATATTGTGTGTATGTTGGCACTCCAAGTGCAGTGAAACCTCATTAGGAAGAAGAACACTGATAAGACAAATGTTTGCCTAAGAAGAACTAGTATTCTTAACTGTATTGGATAAAACCCGGTGTATTCACTGGGTAAAACATAATATGGATAAGAAGAACTCCCGTCATTGCGAACAAATATCATCGGTCCCTTGATGTTCGTCCTAATAAGGTTTGACTGTACATGCACATGCATGGGCAATGTTTGTTGTTTCTGTTGCGTATTGTAACAGATTTCTGGAGACCGTCGAGTCTTTCAACAAGACAGTGTCGTTCTACACCAAGCAGCAGTGCCACTTGTTTAAGAACTGCAACCACAGCACGTCCATGGCCACCGTCAACCTTAACGTGGCCTACAGCGCACAGGTATGCACGTGCGAATGCACGCACATACACACATACTGTCGTGGACATGGAAATCCAGTCGATTGACCGGGGCCGGCGCCCTCAGCGCGTACAGAACGTTGTTGCACGCAGTGCACATGTAATGTTGATCCGATGCGACCAGCGTGCTGCAGCTATGTGTGTACTGTTTACCCACGGCTGCATGGCCTGCGCCCTGGGGCCGCTAGACGTGCGACCGGATTTCCATGTCCACGACAGTACATACATCATGGTTCTAGCCAGGTCAAAATAGTAGGGGGGGGGGGGGGCATGGGAAACAGTTACCCTATATCCCATTTTTCCACTTTCCAATATTGTCTTGCCACGCCAAATGCAACGTATGGGGCGAATCCCTGACTTCACCCCAGACAAATGTGCCTTTATGAACCATCTACGCATGAAAAACATGAAAATCGGAAAATGAGTAGGGGGGGGGGGGGCGGTAATTTTTCACAGGGGGGCGTGCAAACAGAGTAGGGGGGGCGCTGCGCCCCCCTACCCCCCTTTGGCTAGAACCCTGCATACATGCATACATACATACATACATACATACGTACCAATTTTCGTCTGATGATCGATTAAGTTCGTGAAACTCGGAGTTACGAAACCACAACTGCTCGTTCTTCTGTCTACATACATACATACATACATCTTGATCTTGATCCTGCCGCCAAGTCTGGCTATGCAGTCACCGAAGGGGCAGGTCAAATGGTACTAGTCACCCTGCTGCATCGGTGGCGTGTCCGGCCGCTAGTCGAGCGGAAGGTCCGGTGACAGGCGGAGCACTCCAGGGGTGGTGCCGCTGTAGTTTGGATGTCAGTCAGTTTGCACTTGCGTCGAGTCCTTCCACCGATGGACGTGAAGTTTCGCTGGCATACAAGGCACGTCAAATCTGGCCCATCTCGAACTGCTGGCGGTTTCCGTTGTTGTTGCTGCTGCCTTCGAGGCTGGCTGAGGGAATGAGCTGGATCATTGCCGCACCGATGGTTCGCTAAGCCCCCACGAGATAGGAGCCAGCGGTCGCACGTATCACACTGAACAGACCCAGACTGCTCTCTCACCGGCTTTGCTCGCTCCACTGTGCACTTGTGATGCGCCATGTAGCGGGGCTGTGAGAGACATACATACATACATACATACATAGAGCGAGGGAAAGCCGTTGACCATTACATGGAAGGTGCGGGAGAAGAGCCGATCATACAGATGTGAGTCAAAAAATGCAATCTTTGTACCGCGGAAAAATTCCACATCCTGACTACACCCAAGAAGCTCCTACTCAACAAGCGGTCTGAGATGGTCTCGAAATGCAGGCATGAGAATAAGTTCCGCCTCGCAAATTTCACACCTATCAAATGAACTGACCAAGTACATGTACTGTACTGCACTGCACTTTGCCTGAGCACCCATTTAATATTATTAATACAGTCAGACCTCGCTTAACCGCACACATCCGTTTTCCACAGAAATATCCGGATAGGCGAGGGAACCGGATAATCGAACACACATACTGTATGTAAGCATGGCATATGCTGTACATTTGTAACCAACTATTTTCTTCCGGATGGCGAAGGATCCGGATAAACGAGGACCGGATAAGCGAGGTCTGACTGTAACAAAATCCCTTAGCCTGTAGTCGGCGATGCCACTCTGCTCACGCCTGCCCGTCACCAAACGACTCCCTACTTGTAGCAATCTCACTGGCCCATTGCCCGCCACCCTCCTGGCACCTCCACCCATCTGCTGTACACTGCCTCCCCATCGCCTCTTTCCGCGCTTTCATGCTCACACCTGCCTGTTGCCCGCCACCATCCTGGCGCGACAGCTTTCTCCCCATACCTCACACCAGATTTAGCGCTAAATTTGTTTATGCTTGTGGCCCTACGTGTTTATAAGCATACTGTTGGGTAGACCCGAGTATCAGTTGTCTGATGATTGCCTAGCGGCATGAAACTCAGAGTTACAACCAACCTGAACGTCCTCCGCTGAGTCTGCTATGTACATACATACATACATACATACATACATACATACATACTCAATCTGCGGACAGCATGCTGTTTCGTTCTTTTTGAACTCATCAGCGCAGCACAGAGGAAATGAGGCCGAACCTGATAGCAATGGAAATAAAAAATTCCAATCAGGCCCGAACGTACCTTGCCAGAGTGCTCAAACTGACAAGTCAGTGAGCTCTGCATAACGCAAACAGCAAAGGCACTACCCCACGCAAGAGTGCTCAACTGCTACAAGAGCAGGAGCGAAATACTCAATCTGCGGACAGCATGCTGTTTCGTTCTTTTTGAACTCATCAGCGCAGCACAGAGGAAATGAGGCCGAACCTGATAGCAATGGAAATAAAAATTTCCAATCAGGCCCGAACGTACCTTGCCAGAGTGCTCAAACTGACAAGTCAGTGAGCTCTGCATAACGCAAACAGCAAAGGCACTACCCCACGCAAGAGTGACATACATACATACATACATACATACATACATACATACATACATACATACATACATACATACATACAAGTCAGAACAACAGATGGCTTGATCAGTCACAACTTAAAGTTTCATGCCATCTCAGGCACTCATCAGGTGATATGAACATCAAGAAAAATAACCCACTATTTAAAGCCCAGTATGGCGGGACAAGGATAACAGAAATCGTTAGGGGCTAGTGTCACGGCTCTACCTTCCCGGTATCGAGCTCTCGTGGATTTCTGCTGGAATTCACAACAGTGTACATACATACATACACTTGAGAGGGACGAAAAGCGTTTCTTCTGTAACTCTGAGTTTCACGGTTTTAACCGATCATCAGACAGCAACTTGACTACAATTTTCAGAAGATAAGATTGATATAGGCTGCAAGCTTGGATCATAGCGCGAATGGATGATCCGGGCTGATAGTGTAATTGTAAAAAAAGCTTTTCGTCCCTCTCAAGTGTGTGTACTAGGCTCTGCACCTTGGTGTATTGAGCACTCTCACGAGCAACCACAACTCCCTCCGAGTTTACATACATACATGCATACATACATACATAGCCCAAATGAAATCACTGTTGAAATTTCATTTCTGCACAGTAGGGTTCAATGGCTCATTCTCGTATAATCCATTGAGTCCAATATTGGTCTGTTTTTCTTGCAGCGCTCCATCGCCGACGAAGTCTCACGGGAGAGTACCTCCGACGTGGTTGTGCTTGGCCTCAGTTACATGCTGATGTTCATGTATGTAGCTATCACACTGGGAAAGATCTCGTTCAGCCATCCGGCCACACTCCTGGTAAGTATGGCTACTGTAGCATGGTGCACTCTCTAGTAGCTAGGGCTGAAACAAACACAATTTCTCAGTAATCGAACTTTCTTGACGTTAACGAACGAACGAATATTCTTTATTGACAACTCGACCAAATCGTCAGAGTTCCGACATGTTCATGATACTGCCGAAAAAGTCAACTTTGTGGAGGAAACGAATGCCATTGCCATCACAGACTTCAGTGGCCATGCCTCGCTCGCCCTCGGGAAAAACATCGCCCCAGAAGCGCTGTCGGATGGCTCCGTAAAGTAAGGCTGTGCGCACGCCGCGCTGTGCTGCCGTCACTCAGGTACGTTGAAAATCGATGGCTTGAATATTCGTCTCTGGGAGACTGTCGGCACGGGGATCACTCTCCGCATCTTCCCCACCATAAGCACTGTGCGTGGCCAGCGAACTGCGCTCATACTCACACAGACTTCGTGTACCAGGAGTAGTAGCATATCAGGAAGAGAAAAGAATGCAGTTTGAATATTCGTCACCTCACGAATATTCGTCCTGCAAAGCTAAACGAACGCATGTTGGAATATTCGGGAAGTTCGTTTCAGCCCCTACCCTCTACTACTACTGTAGTGCAAATACTGTAACTTCACAAGTTTTCGGTGTACTTTTATTTTCGGTACTTTCGGTGCGTCTATTTCATACCTAAAATTGCAATACACCGAACGAACACTAACGCACATAGTCCAATACGGAACTGCTTCTCTGTACCTAAATTTTCTGTGTTCGCCTAACCTGGCCTTTTGCCCTCATACCGAAAATATTGAGCACCGAAAATTTCTGAAATTAGAGTATCCACTACTATCCAGTAGGTGGTACTACTCTCTGCATTGTTTTACTAATAACTAGTATGCTGTGCCTGCAAACACTGTGGCACTCACTACACTAGTATGCTAAACACAGCTACTGAATTGACAAGTATGAGTGCAGTGCGCGCTCATGGATAGGACAAGGCTACGGCAAGTGCATGGCCCAGGGCCTACATGTACAGTCATGTAGAATCGTAATTGTGAACACAGAGCTGCTATGCGTGTAGTCATGAGGGTAGATTTCACTGTATTGGTAATTTGGTCTGGCTTGATGTGGCGGGTATGTATGGAACTGCAGGTGTCTACACTATATCACCTTGTAAGGTATTTCTTCATCTTTTCACGGGCTGGGCACAACATCCACGCAACTTCTGACACTGTCCATCTGCATGACTCTGAATCCTCTCTCTCTATCTATCTCTCTCTCTCTCTCTCTCTCTCTCTCTCTCTCTCTCTCTCTCGCCAGATCAACTCGAAGGTCTCTCTGGCACTGGCTGGCGTGCTGCTGGTTCTGCTGGCAGTGGCTGCTTCTGTGGGCACACTGGCGCTGCTGGGCGTTGACGCCACATTGATTGTCTTCGAGGCCGTGCCGTTCTTGGTCCTGGCTGTCGGTGTTGACAATCTCTTCTTGATGGTGCAAGCACTTCAGGTGTGTATAGCTCAGCAGCTGTATCTCATCACTTTTCCTGTGCTGCTCCTAGTGCTGTTAAGTGCTATTCTGGGCTCTGCAGCGCTCTGGAAGTGCTCGCCGCGGGGTACTTTATTTGCAGAAATCCCACGAACTTGGTAGCTTTGCTGTATGGCCCAGGGCATCGCTGGGCGGTACTCAGTCATTTACTCGCAATCTCACAGTATCGATCAAAAGATCGCTTTCAGCATTTCGGTCAATTTTGACCATCACTGAGATGAAGTGGGCAAAACAACATCCATGGCGAGCAGTAATCCACATGTGTGCCTGTAGAGGATCCCCCCCCCCGGAAAAAGTATTCTGCTGGGCAATGGAGGTTCTGCAAAACGAAAAATCGTACGAAGTTTCGCAGTGGGCCTTGCGAAAATGTGTACGATTTTTTGCACGAACTTTGTGTTCTGCACATTTTGCAGTTTGCACTTGCCCAAGTGCACGTATGCGGTGAACTAGTCTTGTTGACTCGATCTCACGAAAGTTCATTTCGCGTTCCCTGCAAGTTTCGCGTCCAAAGTTGCGAAAGTTCGTGCGAAGTTTCTCACTTCATGTCGTAGAGCGAAAGTTTGTACATGTATGCATTTTCGTTTTGCAGAACCTCTCTAATATTGCTCTAATATTGTTGTAACTTCGCTGAGGCCCGCCCTCCCTGTCTGAATGTTGATACCAGCACTACCACAATGCATGTAGTCTTTTACTGGAAAGTGTCCCAGACAACGAATGAATGTTTAAAAACACCCTTGCCAAGACTCTCAGTGACTACCTTTGTTCATGTGCTCACCCTCTTCTGGCGATGGCTCTGTTTGCTTCCCCACTCCTGTAGCGTGATGAACGCATAGAAGGCGAGGAAATCTCTGCCCAGGTCGGCCGTGTCCTGTCCGCCGTGGCACCAAGCTTGACGCTGTCAGCGCTGGCCGAATCGGTCGCCTTCTTCTGCGGTGGGTTTCCTGGGGCCGTTTGTTCTATTTTGTTTTGTATCAAAATCTCCCAACACAGTGAAGCCACTAGTCATCATTCCAACGCACATGCGTGCGGCAAACTTGCTGATTCCGCTCCGTGAAATGACTATGTACACGGCAGGAGATGCTGTATGGTTGCATAATGGCTGCATATATGGTTGCATGTGCATGTATGTATGCATGTATGATTCTTGGACATGCTAATACTGTAAAAGCCATATATATAACGAAGTGCTAACTCTAACGAGTTAACGAGGAGAAATCTGTCGTTAAAATAGAAATCGATACATATACTGTCCTATTGAGCGTTGAGAATGAGTGAGAATCGTTACCTTTGGTACACGTAAACTAGTCAATTTTGGGAAATCGTTATATATGCGCCTCGTTAGAATAATGGCTTTCACAGTACTGTGTTTCATCTGTTTTGTTTTTTGTTGTTGTTGTTTCTTATGGCCTTACACAGGTGCTTTGTCAGACATCCCCGCTGTGCGCTCTTTCTCGCTGTACGCCGGTCTGGCAGTGCTGTTCAATTACTTCCTGCAGGTGCGAGGTGGCCTTGAAATACCGTGCATCATTCATACCCTACCTTGAAATACCGTGCATCATTCATACCCTACCAAGCTACAATGTACACAGTCATGTGTACGTGCGTGCGTGTATGTGTGTGTATGTGTGTGTGTGCGTGTGTGTGTGTGCGTGTGCCTGTGTACGCGCATGTTTGGTGGAGAAAACACCGTCCAGGGACTCACGACTTATTTCTGGTTTTGAACTCTTCACTCAGTGGCTGTTCATTTTCTCTTGCTTTGCATGCAGATGACAGCATTCATTGCTTTCCTGTCACTGGATGCGCGGCGTCAGGACAGTCAGCGCATGGATATCTTCTGCTGCTTCCCTGGCGGTAAGAAGAATGGCTATATCAACTTGGAAGCAGAGGACTGCTCACCAGGCTGCCTGTACCGCATCTTCTCCAGCTTCTATGCGCCGGCGCTGCTGCACAAGTTTGTCCGACCAGTTGTCGTGAGTGGTTGCCCTTCTGTTTGCTGTTTGCCCATGTGCATCTGTGTGTGTATCCCGTTTTTGTGCATGTGTGTAGCTTGTAATTGCCCCGGTGTACCCGCGACATCGGCTTCAGAGATGTACACGCGCGCGCGCGCGCGCGTGTGTGTGTATTGCACATGCAATAGATGTGCTGTGTAATCACAGTGCACATGCATTGTCGCTACGGTTACTGACTGTATGGCCATGTAGATCTCTGCAACCAATCCAGCAGGGGCAACCCATTCCGCGTGTACTAGTATACCAGCACTGTGAGCGCACACACACACACAATGCTGACATTTTCTTTCTAAAAGTTGTAACTAGAGTTTTTCAATGCAGTTGGCTTCAATCCACCCATTGTATTATGTAGAGTTACATGTGTATTGGTTCTCCCATGCCACTATTTTCTCTTGGAGATCCTACCCCCTCCCCGTTGCTTGGAGATCGTACACCACCCACCCCTGCCCTGTTACATTTAAATCTCTATGAACACGCTGTATGCCTCATGCTGGTTGGTTTTGTTTGCATGTTTTGCTGCAGGTGTGTGCATTTTTCGGCGTCTTCTTCATGTCGATTGTAGCCACGACTCACCTCGAAATTGGTCTGGATCAGACCACGGCGCTACCCAAGGTATGATGACGTCATAAGTCGACCTGCTCTTTTAGAAGAGTGCTCTTCCGGGGGGTTTTCCTTGCCCGGGTCACTACAATAGTGTGATGAGTCAGTACATGTATCTATCAACAAGAAGACCGAGTACTGGAAACGTTATACCATATTGTGTCAAGATGTACTTGTAGTCTGCACTGCGATCATGCAGTAATGTGATGGGTAAGTGTCTATCAACAAGAACGAATACTGGAATTGTTACACGAACTGTTCCTTGTCATGATGTAGCCTGAGTTGAGATCATGCAATAGCAGTGTTCCAACTTTTGGAGGAAATTCGTTTGCAATGGCTGCTATTGTTTCCTTTTTCTTTCTCTCTGGTGTAGGATTCCTACCTTGTCCCGTACTTCGGTAATCTGAGCCGTTACGTGAAGGTCGGCGCCCCAGTCTATTTCGTCGTCGATGGAGAGTATCCGTACAATGATACAAACTATGCGGCCAAGGTAAAAGGACTGTGTGTGTGTACGTGTATGTGTGCGCGTGTGTGTGTGTGTGCGTGTGTAATTATGTGCTCGCCTGGTTCACAGGTCGCGTGCCGGTGTGGGTACTGTTGATCGTTTTAACGGCCACCGGTGCCTACTAACTTCTCCCTCCGTGTGCGTGTGTGTGTATCACTGTGTGTGCGTGTCTGGGTGTGTATGTGCATTCAGATCTGCTCCACTGGTGGCAACTGCAGCCGGAACTCCTTAGTGCAGCAGCTCAACAGAGCTAGTCAGCATCCGGAAGTGTACGTTATCCTTTCCTGGCTTGCACGCCTTGCTGCCATGCTTTTAGATGGCTGACAGCTTTTGCAATGATTATTGGACGTCAAGTTCCTGGTCCCATTGTATTGAACTTGCGCGTTCACGAGCACAGCGAAGGCAGAGACACTTCGTACGGGGAAATTGTTCCGCCTTTATTGCAAGGAGACTGCCATTGCTAATGATATTGTTCCGGCACTCTGTTTTGTGCAACACCTCTATTTTGATACATACACTAGTACTAGCATTCCAGAGCCTAATGCCATGGGGAGGGGGAGGGGGGGATGTATGTACAGTGTACAATGAATATGAAAGAGGTGTACTGTAGTCCCATGGATTTCCATGGTATATCTCACACAGATTCCAGCGGCATCTCATCCACTGTCTCTTCACAGACACTGATCGTAACCGTTCTCTTGCTCACCACCACTACAGGTCGACAATAGCACAGCCGCCACTGGCGTGGCTTGATTCCTACTACGAATGGATAACTCCAGCCACTGCATGCTGCCGACTCAAGAACTCTACCGCTAGCAGTCGTGACTCGGGTCTTGACTTCTGCCCACCAACAGGTACGACTGACCTGCTTTGCTTGTTAGCTTAGGCATCACGATGCCGGGATAACTCTTAGGGGAGGGGTGCTTGTCAGCTTTGGCTGAAGATTAATGCTTCAGGCATATTTAGGCATGTTACAGGAAATAACCTGGTGAATGTTATCCCTTATAACTTCCACGCCGTGCTGTCATGGTGCCAGAGTTGTTGTAATGTTGCAAAGTGCAACAAGAGTGCAAGGGTACAGTATCGCATCATCATTGGCATAAACCCAGCATAATGTAGCATAATCACTGGCATAATTTGGGCATAGTGGAAAGCATAATTCAGCAATTTACCAAGCATAATCCGTCAAGGGCTGTTTGTACTGAGTTCACCATACCATTATATTGGACCGCAGCATAGCATAGCACCATCATTGGCATAATTCCAGCATAATGTAGCATAATCACTGGCATGATTTGGGCATGTTGGAAAGCATAATTGAGCGATTTACCGATCATAATCTGCCAAGGGTTAGTCATGAAGAGGCGTGTGCTTCGATGTTACTTTATGATTGATGACCACTTGTGTACAATGGTGCTCGACATACCTGTGCAATGTTGTGTTCTGCATGTTCGTTATCCGATATGCCTATACAGACCAGACATCAAAATGTATCGACTGCCTCCCTGACGGAAAGACACTGCCGACTCGTGATGAATTTGATGACTACATTGAGGACTTCCTTCACAGCAACCCGTCAGCCGCATGCCCCGCAGGGTGAGTTTTAACAATCTAGTTCTGCGACTTCTTTGCCAAGCAAACATAACTGTAAAGAGATTAATGATAATTAGTTTCTTATCCCTTGCCCCTCTTGGCCAGGTTTTAGTTTCTACTGGGCTCAGTTCCCACCGGGCCTTGATTGCTTTCTGGATGTGAGTCGGCACCCAATGTGTCCTATTTACGTCCTAAGTCCGATGTGGACATGAATATCAAGTTAGTTTCACTCCTTTCTTCCTCCTCGTGCATGCTGTTTCATGTTGATGCTAACAACATGGTGTGTGTATGTGTCTGTGTGTCTGTCTGTGTGTGTGTGTGTGTGTGTGTGAATGCATGTCTTTTCTGTTGCAGTGGGCATGCTGCCTTCAGCTCAGCATTGAGCTTTGCTAACCGCAGTGCTAACGACAACAGAGACACTGCTATCAAAGGTATTGTGTGTGCGTGTGTAACTGTTATTAAGTATGGCTATACTCAGTACCAACGCATATGGCCGATTGGTTTGCATGCCTGCCTGCGACTCATGAGGTCCCGAGTTCAAGACCCGCGCTAGTAGTAGGAGCGTGTAAAAAGACTTTTTACGCGTGTTGAACTGCGCCGACACCCACGGTCAACTGGGTACTCACAGCTCGGAGTGAGAATAACAAGGATGCAGTTTACAGGGTTATGGGCCGTTACACGCCCGATTGGTTGAGAGACTAACCTCCTCTCCCCTGACTCACTTGTGAGGTGTGCATTCGCCACTAAGGTTAACAGGCATAGTGGTGGCCTGCGGGTGCGAAGGCTAGTTTGTGTGTTTCTGAACATTCAAGCGATGCCGACGCGGATCCCGCGAATATTATATTATACTCAGTAACCTTTAGCTGGGCCCGGGACACCATGTCAATAACCTTGAGCTTGGCACCCCTGGGCCGGGACACCATGTCAATAACCTTGAGCTTGGCACCCCTGGGCCGGGACACCACGTCGTTGCCAAGAGATGTTAATAGCCTTTCACTGGACTTCCAATTGTGCTTCATTCACCTTCTTTCAGCTTCACACTTCATGACGTACCACACGCCGGCTAATGACTCGGCTACCTTCATCAATGCTCTGAAGCAGGCACGAGATCTGGCGGACAAGATGACGGCTGCCATCGACTACCCTGGCATCAAAGTCTTTCCTTACAGGTGAGTTCGAATAATGCAGTGCAGCATACAACGTACATGTACGTGTGCATGTGTTAGTGGTCACACTGCAGGCTGCGTGTCTGATGCAGTGCACCACACATGCATGACACATGCATGCACAGTTGCACATACACACACACATGTGTGTGTACATGACTTTGTTGTGCCAGTAGTCACACTCGCTGTGTCTTTTTCCCTGCTTCTTCCAGAAGAGGCATGTGAGCCTAGAAGTCACCCACTTTTGGATGAGCGTGCAAGAACGCTCTTCCAAGAAGTGACAGCTCTTGACAAAATAAAAGAGGCTGACATGTATTGACCCATAGTCTAGTCGTACTGCCTATAAAATGCATAATGGCACAGCCTGCCTGTACATCACTGGTCTTCAAATGGATGTAGTTCCTCGCCCCACTTCACAGCTTCAAGCCGAACCACAGCAAAGTCTTGTTCGACTAACATACGTGTTATCATTTCTCTGTCTCTCTATTGGCTTGCTTCTCTCTCTCTCTCCCTCCCTCTCCCTCTCTCTCTCTCTCTCTCTCTCTCTCTCTCTCTCTCTCTCTCTCTCTCTCTCTCTCTCTCTCTCTCTCTCTCTCTCTCACACACACACACACACACACACACACTCTCTCTCACACACACACACTCTCACTCTCTTGTGTGCGTCTTTCCGTGCATGTGTGTGCTTGTTTTGCATCCGGTTATGTCGTGCACACGCGTCTACATAGCGTGTTCTACGTGTTCTATGGGCAGTACTTGAACATTGTCAAGTCGGCCGCTATCAACCTGACCGTGGCTACTGGTAAGTAGGTATCAAGTCATGCTCTTGGTCAGTCTCATGGTCATTGACTGTCTCTTGTTTGTACCTCATGGTCATGGTGTGGTGATTGCATTCAAACCGTATGTGCATACTACTATTATATAGCTGGCACCCTCAGCTAACCCAATGAATACACACCTTCTGTGAGTGTCTCTCTTTTTCTCCCTGCCTCTCTCTCTCTCTCTCTGTCTCTCTCTCTCTCTCTCTCTCTCTCTCTCTCTCTCTCTCTCTCTCTCTCTCTCTCTCTCTCTCTCTCTCTCTCTGTCTCTCTCTCTCTCTCTCTTGTGTGTGTGTGAGAGAAAGAGAGGGAACGACATGGAGCAGTGGAATCATCACTATTCACCTAATCAGTGGTCTTCTTTCTTCTCTTAGTATTCACTTTGTTGGCTAGTTGGTTAGCTGACTGCGAAACATCTAGCTGACTAATTGTTGCCACTGGCTTAATTGCAGCATTGCTGTTTTTGTTGGTGGTGGTGGTGGGAATGTATGTTCGCTTGTGTGTGTGTGTGTGTGTGTGTGTGTGTGTGTGTGTGTGTGTGTGTGTGTGTGTGTGTGTGTGTGTATGCAGTTGCCCTGTTCATAATCTCGTACCTGATGTTGGGACTGCGAGTTCGCCAGGCTCTCTTCATCCTGGGCACTGTGTGGATGATCATTGTTGATGTGATGGGCGTCATGTACCTCTGGGACATCAAGTTCAATGCCATCTCACTCGTCAACCTGGTTGTGGTAAGTCACAGGGAACAGGGCAGCACATCAACTGCATGCAGCCCATCAATCCGAATCGTGGTCAGTCAATGCGTGTGTGTGTGGGGGGGGGGGGGGGGGGTTAAGTAACGGTGCATGTTGAATTAGCCCGTTGCGCAGTGCCAAATACAGAAGGTATGAGTAATGTATGTGAGTACGCTGGGATCAACAATGCAGTCTGTTCAACGCCCCAGACGACCATGCGCCCAGGTGGCTGTGTGTTCATGGTACAAATTACGTCATTGCGCAATGGGCTTATTCCTTGGCTGGCCTTACAAGCTGTAACATGATGGCAAGAGTTCATTGCGACTGTGTTTAAGGATCGAAGCGCTCTGTACTACCGGTACCTGCACTGTGCTATCTGCCTGCACCGCGCCTTTCACGTGCGCACTTAATCCCACGACCTGTGTACATTCCAAGACTGTCCGTGTTGAGGGAAGGTGTGTGAAAGCACCAAGGCAGTGCTGTAAACATGTGGCAATTGTTCGTTCTATAATTTAAAGCCTGTACGTGTACAAGAGAGTTGTGCGTGTGTGTGTTTAAAACCTGCTCAGCCAGTGAGGCTTTGCTCTGCACAGCGTCTTCTTACTTGTGAGCACCTTTTCTTGATGTTCTCCTGTGCTCATGCAGGCAATGGGCATAGCCGTGGAGTTCTGCGTTCATATCTGCAACACGTTCTGCTGCATAAGGACCGGGACACGTTTGGAACGCGCCCGCTCTGCCTTGATCACCACTGGCAGCTCGGTGAGTAGCAGCCGCGCGTCCAGTCAGACCTCGCTTAACCGCACACATCCGTTTTCCACAAAAAAATATCCGGATAGGCGAGGGAACCGGACTATCGAACACATGTACTGTATGCTGTTATTTGGTATTAAACCAACAATTTTCTTCTGGATGTCAAGGGATCCGGATAAACAAGAACCGGATAAGCGAGGTCTGACTGTACTTGTAAAGTGCCTGTCCTGTTCTTACACGGTCGCTTGGGACTCACACCATTACATGTGTACATGCTGATTTTGGTGCAAAGAAAAGGAGGTTGTTCTCCGGCAGCTGAATCGGATTGGGGGCATCTATATCAGCAGTGCTAAGTCCCACTTGTAGATAGCACCGACCGTCTGCTTTCTTTGCTTGCAAACAAAGTGTGAAATCTTCAACAACACCCTGTGCATGTTGTGTATGTTGTCTGTGTTCCCAATGTAACGTCCAAACAGGTTCTCAGTGGTATAACACTGACAAAGTTTGGTGGTGTAGCAGTGCTGGCCTTCACCAGCTCCAAGCTCTTCCAAGTAAGTTACCATGTTTGGAACAATGTGGCCAATGTTGCTAGTGTGACGGCTGTTGCTGCTGCTGCTGCTGCTGCCGCTGCTGTTGTTGTTGTTGCTGTTGTTTCAAATCTTTATTCTCACAATAGCCAGTGACCAGTAAGAGATATGTTGTTGTTGTTGTTGTTGTTGTTGTTGTTGTTGTTGTTGTTGTTGTTGTTGTTGTCCTCGAAGTAGAGTGAATAGGACCTGTCTCTGTGCCAGGACAGGTGTTGTTCTGTCCGTTTCTATCCCTTGAGCCCAGACACTGCTTGACCGTTGTTCACAGTACATTACACACGTCGCGTTGCTCACTACGGCTGCACGTATGTGTGTTTGTGTGCGTATGTGTGTTTGTGTGCGTGCGTCTGTTTTTGCATATGCAGGTATACTACTTCCGTATGTACATGTCCATTGTGTGCGTTGGGGCTGCTCACGGCCTGATCTTCCTGCCCGCACTGCTCAGCTACATTGGTTAGCCGTCGCTGCTGTGGTGTCAGTAAGCGAGGTGCAAGTGTGCTTCTTACACGTGCAGCTCAGCTCAGCTCTGTTTCTACTCGGCTCTTTTTTTTTATTCTTAGATCAGCCATCTAACTGTGATCTAACTGTGCTAATTTTGTTGTTACAGCAGACTAGTGCTTACGAGATGGTGTCCTTGTTTTAAAACTCTCTTTATATAATTATAATCCCATTGGTGGCATGGCAAGGTAAACGCGCTGCACTGCCGAACCAGATTTTCACAAACACACACACACACACACACACATCATGCACACACACACACATCATGCACACACACACACACACACACACACACACACACACACACACACACATGTACCCAGTCATATGTGCATTCTTTCCCTGTGTGTGTGTGTGTGTGTGTGTGTGTGTGCGTGAGCGCGCGTGTGTGTGCGTGCGCGTGTTCTTACGGCGAGTGGTTACGTTGCCTTGTGCCGGCATGGTGTGTGTTGCACCCGTTATGCTGTGTACGAGTACATGTGGCCTTTGCAACGCGTTGAACCATACCTCTTTGTGTCATCTTATCTCCAAATCCATAATAATTTTGCTGTCCTTACATTTCGTGCTGTTGAATGCAGCACATAACATACTTGCGAAAAGATGCTTGTTTTCACTTTACCTACTAGTACTAGGATATCCTTGCTACCTTTCTACAGGTGCAATCCTCACTCATGTCATAACTGAATTGATCATTTTGTCCAAGACGCTGCTGCACATGCACTGCATGGCATTGTTTTGTCCGGGGGGCCACTATGGAGCACTTTGTCTGCGCAATCTTGTTTCACTTACATTCCTGCTACTGCTGTTTTCTTCGTTTATTCAAAAACTGTTGTTGTTGTTGTTGTTGTTGAGCTTAGCTGGTTGCTATTTCGTAGCTGTCGGGTACGTGTACTGTGTAGTTGTTTTGAGTGTCACGTCATTTTTCTTTCCGCCCTGAGCAGTTTGCTGGGAGTTTCCTTTCTCAGAACCTTATTCGCCTGGTTTCGCCTTGCGTATACGATGACTCGGTATTTCTACGCATGGTGTTTTGACATTTTGACATTTTCCAGTTCTTGTCCTTTCCACAGCATTCACCTTCTATTCCCCCTTCTTTTCGCTCTGCTATTACCTCTCTTTTCTGCCATGTTGTTGTTGTTGTTGTTGTTGTTGTTGTTGTTGTTGTTCGGCGCTGTCATCGTTCTCTTTTTCTTTCTGTTGTTCTATGACCATGACGTGTGCACAATCATTGTTAGTTACATAGTAGTAAGTATGTGTAGTTTATATTACTAATGTCACGTGTGATTATAAAGTTCATGAACTAAAAGTCTTTTTGTCCGAGGCCTGCTGTTGGTGTGACTTGCAGACGAGGCTTGGGCTGAATCGGGACTCGCAGTGGATGAAATGATCAGGCTTACAACCAGGCAACCACGTGGTAGGACGCACATGGAAGGGGCCGCTAAAGATTAAGAGGTTGGGCGTACACCCGGTACCCGGACATCCGCATGGTAGGACAAATGCAGAAGGGCTGGTAACTTGGTCTATTAAGTAAATTGTGCAACAAAGCAAACAACAACAACAACAAAAAGGAACCGTGCTCAAAGTTCAAACTCGGTGCAAAAACGGTACAGCTGTAGTACAGTACAGGAATCATTATAATAAACATGCCGAGTGTGTGTGTGTGGGGGGGGGGGGGGGGGGGTTCTCTTGGCAGTTCATGTACGATGTTAGCAAGAGTATACACATCCCCCAAGTGTGCAACTCTCTGCATATGGCCCATTATGGGGTCTGCAACGACGAAAACTCACATGCCATGCTCCACTCGCATTTCAGGTACATTTCGTACAACACATGTGAACTGCAGTTGAGGGAATGGAAAGGGAATAGTCTGAAGGAAAAATTGACTGTCACCACCAGGACTCGAACCATGGACTTTCGCTTGAGGCCAGCGATGCTCTAACCACTGAGCTACGGACTATGGTGCAGTTGTCATCCCAGCAGAGACCGTTCAACTTTCTCTTCAAACTTCATAACTCACACTTCTTAACTCCGAGTTTCACGCTTAAAGCGATCATCAGAAAACAGTAATGAGAAATCTGGACCAGTATTGGTTTATATACTCACAAAACAAAGTGTAAATGGCTGCATCATGGCGCAAATCAAAAAGTTGTGAATGGTGGCAGTAAGTAAAAACGTAGGGCTGAAACGATTATACCGAATAATCGAGTACTCGTTTGATAACTCTAACGATCGAGCAATCGTTTAGATTACCGATTCTGACATGTCACATGACAATCGACATGGCAACAGCGAATCCTAGCGCGACTTGCCGTGCTTTGAATCAGCCACTGAAGACCTGTGAGCGCTTGCAGGTCTCCGATTTTCCAATCGGAGGAATCGGAGCACGCCTAGGCGTGCTCCGATTCAGTAGTACGAAGTAGTTCGTGCAATGCATGTCAGAAATGGTATCAAAGCATTCGTACTCGGACTCAAGTGCTAGAATCGGAGCCCTCCGCGCTAGCGCGCGTCGGGCTCCGATTCCGCACTTTCGTCCTCGTACTCATGCTCGATTCCATACTTACGATTATTTTGCGTTTTTTTAATTTGTGTCCAGAAAGTACGGTAAACCCTCGTTTTGTGACGTTTGAATCAGTTTCCGCTGGGAGTATGCAGTTGCCGGGGGTATGGTTTATATTCTGAGGTTAAATTGACTTCAAAACTGCCATGCTTCGGAGCTACCCTTTCACTAATGCAGATTTGTTGGTATTATGAAGGCATAGTTTGTGGAAACAGAGTAATGTTTGCACAGAATTATGACTCTATTTGCTAACGATTATAATCGATTACTCGATCGTTAAGCTAAAGAGTAATCGATACGTGAAAATCCATGATCGTTTCAGCCCTAGTAAAAAGTAAAGTTTGCACGTCTGCGTTACCACCGGCTATACAATTGCGTTGAGAAACACAACCAGCTTAGGAAGCTTCGCATAAAGCGTAAATGGCTGCATCGGGGGGGGGGGGGGGGGGGGGGGGGAATCTAAAAGTGCGAATGACAGCAGTGGAGAAAGGTGACAACCACTGGAGCCGGTTGTCTCTTACATCACCCTCACTGGGAAGCACATGAGTACAGTGAACTATTATTGTAACTACACTTAGTGTACTTATAATAATTTCACGACCACGTCACTGAGGGTCATACATGCACTCCACATACCTGCGCGGTAGATCTACATGATGTTACATTACTAATTTAGTAGATTACGGACCGGTACGTAATATTAATAGGCGATTCACACGACAGGCAAATCCACGTTTACAGGAAAGCCACCATGGAGATATTATTCCTGCGGGCGACCAAAATTTGTCCGCGGGAATCAAAAGTGTCCATGCCTCCATGGCCTTTTTGCCGGCGGATGCACTCATCTGCGGGCACTTTTACAGTTTTGAGGCTGTGAGGTCGTACTATCGTACGGTAGTCTTGAACTCTGGTTGTTTGGCCTTCGTCTTCGGGTACCCATTCCAAATCACCACAGTAACGCCGTATACTCACCGAATACTCGCGGGAGCTCTAGCCGCCACCCGCGGTCGTGTGAACTGCAGCCTCACGTTTCACTTCCTGCGGGCACCTGACAAACGTGGATTTGCCTGTCGTTTTTTTTTTTTTTTTTTACTACAAAGCACTGGCCAGCAACATAAAAGGGGAGGTAGACAAAAGTGGACAAGCGAACATTGACAGCACAGAGGAGCGTGGCATGCGTGCCGATGAGGTAGGTCAACCTCCCCCGACCTAGTGGTCCGCTCGGGTTCAACAGTTGGTCTACACATCAGGAAGGGGAAATGGACAGAGAAAGGGAGAATGAGCATGAGGAGCTTCCCAGGAGAGGAAGAGTGAGAGAGAGAGAGAAACAGAAAATGATAATAATAGAGACAACCGGTTATTCTCAGTGCTGGTGGACTTCAGTGGCCCATAGCCAATTGGTCTGGCGGAGGTGATGGTAGGCCTTGGTCTTGAATGTCGGCAATTTCTTGAGAGTTGGGCGTTCGGCGAGGATTGGGGCAGGCAGTGTGTTCCAGCTCTCCAGGACAAAGTATGGGAAGGAGCGGCGGATGAACTCTGGACTGGAGGCTGGCAGAGGAGTTGCGAGTTGGAAAGAGTGGCCACCGAGGGACTGGCGTTGCCGGCGCGTCCGGGGTGCAGCGTTAACTCTTGCTGGGGGAGGTACCATGTTGGTAAGCAGAGCTGGACCTGGTATGCATTGCAGCTTATACAGGTAGCACAGCCCGTAAGCATGCCTTCGGATTGCCAGGCTGGGGAGCAATGAGGGGCCAATAACCTTCATGGCTCGACGCTGGACCAGGTCCAGCTGATGGAGGTGACAATGTGCCGCACTTGCCCAGACGAGAGAGGCGTACTCCATTATAGGCCGTACAAATCCTTTGTACACAGTTAGGCGCCCTGCACTGTCCAGGATCCGAGATGCCTTTCGGAGCAGGCCGAGTCGCTGGTTGGCTCTAACGGCAAGGGAACGGATGTGGGCCCGGAAGGAGAGAGTACTGTCAAATAACACTCCTAGCAGCTTGAGCTGGGGGCTCTCAGGCACCTGCATGCCATCAAATGTGAGCTGTGGGACATCCAGGGATGGTCTGTGGCGGTCAAGGAGTATTGCCTGAGATTTTGATGGCTCGAACTTTATCTTCCATTGGGCACCCCAAGTCTGCAGGCGGTCAACAGATGCTTGGAGGCTATTGCAAGCAGCAGCGATGGTATCTGGGTTTCTGATTAGGGCATAGAGTGTTGTATCGTCCGCATAGACAGCTAGACTGGAGCCTGGGGCTAAACACTGTTCTGCATCGTTTACATATACCGTAGAATCCCGCGGATAAGCCCATGGGCTTATCTGTTTCACAAGGACATTTCGGTGGGCTTATACGAGAACATGGGCTTATACGCGGACATGGGCTTATACGCCGACACCAAGTTGTGTATCAAGGAAGTGAGAAGTACATTGCTGAAAACCACTGTGTAAACAAAAACAACCGATGATTGTGCTGAAATGTACGGAAAAAAACTATAATGTGCACGTACTATGTACATGGTATGGCCAAGAGTCCATAATTTATGGACTCTCGGTTTGACCTAGGCCCATGGGCTTGTACGATGAAGCTTTGTGATGTTCGAACAAACCCTGGGCTTATGCGCGGGCATGGGCTTATACGCGGGTGGGCTTATCCGCGGGATTCTACGGTAACAGGAAAAGAGTGGGACCTAGGAGGCTACCCTGGGGCACTCCAGCCTTGATCGGGAGCAGTGGGGAGGACTGACCGCCAACAACTACAGTCAGTTTTCGGTCATGGAGATACGACCTTAGCCAAGCCAGGAGTTGGCCGTGGATGCCACATTGCTGTGCCTTCGCAAGGACACCTGGGTGGGAAACCTTGTCGAATGCCCCGGCAATATCAACTGCCAGGGCATGCACAAGACCACCGCCAGCCAGGGTAGTGGCCCAGGAATGCTGGAGAGCCGTCAGTAGGTCACTTGTGCCCAGTCCACGTCGGAAGCCAAACTGGGACGAGGAGAAGAGTTGATGGGTTTCCAGGTGGTTCACAAGCTGCCGATTGATGATACCTTCCATGATCTTAGAGATGATCGTCAGGAGAGATATAGGCCGGTAGTTCTTCATCATGGATTTGGGTCCTTTCTTGTGCACTGGAACGACACGAGCAATTTTCTATGATTGGGGCTGGACTCCATTTGCAAAACACAGGCGAAACAATCTAGCCAGCAGATGTGCTAGTTCAGCTGCACACTCCTTGAGTACTCGTCCTGGGATCTCATCTGGACCAGTGGATTTTGATGTGTTGAGACGCTTCAGGCACTGTTGGACTTCAGAGACGCGGAAGCGGATGCGCTGCAGGCCCGGAGTGGTAGTGCGGGGTGTTGCTGGTAACTCAGCATTGTCGATGTCATTATCCCCAAGGCTACATTTTTCAGCAAAGAATCTAGCAAGGCACTCACTCTTGGCTTTCGATGTACTGTGCTCGTGCCCGTCAGCATCAGTGAGTGTTGGCACGTCTGTAGTCCTACCCAGACCGGCGGCGCGCTTGACATTCCTCCACCAGTCCTTGTCTCTCATGGAACCACGTGTGAGACGCTCTCGGACTGTCTGCTCTTCAGCTTGTTGTGCACGATGTTGGGTTGTAATAGATTGAGTGACAGTTGTCATGAACGACTGCTTCAGGCATTCGCTGGGCCCCTGGTGACGCCAGGCCTTCCACGCTTTCTCTTTGGCACGTTGAACCTCAGTGCATTCTGGTGTCC